AAGAGTGAAAAATTTAAGGGGGTCTGAATACTTTCCGTACCCACTGTATATATATATATATATATATATTCCTAATAGTATGCAAAAGAGAAATGCATGTTTATCTATTTAAATCATTTAAATAATTAAACGTGTTACTTACCGTAGAAGTCTCACCGGAGTCTCAGTCACTTTAAACTTGCTCAAGTAATAAAGTTAATAAAGTTACAGAGTTGTATATTTTACTGATCTAAAATATATATAATAAAATATATATATTCTTTTTTTCATTTATTTTCTCTGTTCTCAAGTTAAAATTTATTTAAATCATTTAAATAATTAAACGTGTTACTTACCGTAGAAGTCTCACCGGAGTCTCAGTCACTTTAAACTTGCTCAAGTAATAAAGTTAATAAAGTTAATAAAGTTACAGTGTTGTATATTTTACTAATCTAAAATATATATAATAAAATATATATATACTTTTTTCATTTATTTTCTCTGTTCTCAAGTTAAATAATAATACAAAATAAACATAAACATAAATACATGAATGAACTGATTAAATGACAAAATAATGCAAGTAGCCTAAACCTTGGCATTAAAAATAACTGTAAACTAAACCACAAAGAATAAGAATTTACAGTGTGATTTATTTTATTAAAAATAATAATCATAATACAGTACTATCACCAACATTATTAAGCAGTTTTCCCACATTTTTAATTTTAAAACTGTAGTTTGGCTATGAAGGCATTTTATAAATCAACAGATATTGTTCAAAATAAAGACAAAATTTGTGGTTCTCAAATAACACAAATGTCTTAATTAACCATAAATACAAATAAATACATTATAAGTAAAATTTAGTCAACTGAAAATCATAATTTTGATGGCATAATCTTTACAATAATAACTTTACAAGTAAAGTATTCCTTCATTTGTTTCAGAAACCTCTGGTCTCGCATCCCGTATATCAAAGCACTCAGTAATCTTGGCATAATATTTGTGATTAGATAATTAAAGAAAGTGATCTTTGTTCTGTGAACAGGAAAAAAAGGCGTGACAATTAAATCCAAAACAGGGGCGATATAGGAAAGCATACAAAGAAGTAACTGGACACCATGCAACAATATCGTACTCCGAGCCTTATTTGCTGAACCCTTTGAAACAGCCTTTCTGGCAGTGAAAAGGACTCTGCAGTAAGTATAGACGAGAATTATCCACACCAATGACATATAAATGACTTGTGAAGCAGTGGTGCGATCCTTGTGGGCTTTGGAAGGGAATAAACTGAATGGATAGCAAAGTACAAGAGAACTGAAAAAAGATATGGGCTGGATTAAGAGTAAAATAATTATATCTGCCAGAGAAGGTATAGCTCCTATAACCCACAGCAAACATATAAAAATGTAGGTCCTTTCTGGTGTGCAAATCTGAGCGTGATGCAGTGGTTTACAGATAGCAATGAAACGCTCTATTGCCATACCAGCCAGATTCAATGGAGTGATCATAAAGGTGGTTGAACCAAGCACCACCAATACGCAACACAATGAAGCATTCACAAGTGGTGAAACGTAGGTCAACACATATAAAGTCACTGATATGCATATCATAAGCATGTCATTGATTACCAGGTGAATGTATAAAATGTATCTGGAGTCTCTTGAAAACATTGGATTGGAGAAGAAAGTCACCACTAGCATTCCGTTAATGAAATTAATGACAAGACCGAGAGAAACAATCACAAGGTTTTTGGCAAGAGCTTCTTCATAACTATCCACAATCCAGACCGTCGAGTTCATTTTCCAGTTCTTTACAAGCAAGGATCTGGAACGGAAAGAGGAGAGAGTGGTTAAAAAAAAAAATCACCTACTACAGTCTTAACTTAGCCTATTCATTTGAGAAGTCTTATAGATTTACCTTGAGCAGAAGAACCGGTTCTGAATGGTGGGCAGTCTGAAGCTCACATGAGTTTTAATCAGTAGAGTGCTACTGTATGCTATTTATGGTTTGTGGAAAGGGCAGAGATCATGAATATTAAACACGATGGTCGTAGCCATTAGGCCATTTTAAATTAGTCTATTCAAATGTTTGCATGTTTGCAATGCAAATACTGCACTCTCTGCATTGCCACAAGAGGCCTTATAGCATCATTAAAGGGTTAGTTCACTTCCAGAATAAACATTTCCTGAGTATTTACTCACCCCCATGTCATCCAAGATGTTTATGTCTTTATTTCTTCAATCACAAAGAAATTAAGGTTCCTAACAAAAATATTCCAGGATTTTAAAACTTCAATGGTGGCAAACAGGTTGAAGGTCATCCCTCGTTCCTTGGCTGGGATCATGTAGAGCCCTTTGAAGCTGCACTGAAACTGCAATTTGGACCTTCAACCCACTGGCAGACATTGAAGTCCACTATATGGAGAAAATTCCTGGAATGTTCTCCTCAAAAACTTTAATTTCTTTTCGACTGAAAAAAGAAAGACATGAACATCTTGGATGACATGTGGTTGAGTAAATTATTAGGAAATTTTATTCTGAAAGTAAACTAATCCTTTAACATGGACATAACTTGTACTGTCAGTTTTGACTGCACAATTACGGTCATAATCAGATCTAGTGAATAAGCATATTGTATTAATAACCTAATATTTCAATCATAATTAGGGATTGTAAAGGTGTTGTGCAGGATCAAACGCATGATGCAGGAGAATCCAACAAACAGTCTTTAATAAGTCCAACAGGAGATGGGGCAAATGCAACACAACCACAGAAACAAGAACAAACAAAACTGATCATAAACCAGCATGAATTCCATGATGGTCCAGGTTTGTTTATGCTGGTTATAGTTGGTTGTAGTTGTGCTGTCTGCTCATCATTTCTCTTTTTTTCTGTTCTTGTTGTTCCTCTTATCTTCAGTGATTCTGCTTGGTAACTGCAAGTGTCATCACTAATGGTCAATCCTGTAAAGTGAATCTACTTTATTTCTCAGCAACACTGCTTCAGTGTTACTTTTACTCTATTTTTTTTTTAGTAAAAAAAAAAAATCAAACAAATTGAGCAGTCTTTAACACTGAGCGTTTTGCTGTGCCATTAAACATGTAACCTACATCAAGTGTTTTTCTTATTTTTTTAAAATAATTTATTAAAATAATTGTTAATAATTGTTATAATTGCTATTAAGATAATTGTTTTATTTAACTATGAACACTCACTAAGAAACATATGATATAAAATGTGTACATGTGATTTGTTGTGGATTGGCTGGGATAATACCAGCACCCAAAAGATCCACCAGCACACCAGCATTCCAAGCTGGTCCCAGCATGCGAAACATACCTTATGCTGGTCCACCAGCAAACCAGCATCCAGCATCTCAAGCTGGGAACCAGCAAACCAGCATCCCATACTGGTCCCAGCATGCAAAACACACCTTATTCTGGTAACCAGCAATGCTGGATTTTTCAGCAGGGAAGGGCTTAAATAGACAGGTGACGATTAACTAAAACAAAACAAGTGTGAATTAATCAGAAACCACTGAAACTAACAAGTGGAGGGAAAATGTGAACATTTCCCAGAAAAGGTCATGAAGGACAGTCCAACACAGGAGGGTGGGCAAGGGCTCTGGAGGATGCAGAGCAGGCACAGGGCAAAAAACCAAAGGAGATGACGGGTGGAGAGACTAGGGGCAATGACGGAGGGGGGAGCCAGAGTCCAGCCAGAAAGGAGGCCCACGGTGAAGGAGTCATGGTGACGACAGCATGGGGATTGACTGAGGCAGATGCAGTCGCTGGAAGTGGAGAACCAAGTGGAGTCAAGGAGACAGAGAGCCGGGGTGACACCGGAGGCCTGAACGGCCAAGACCGAGCTGCAGGCTTGCGGGACCGAGGTGGAAATGGGGGCTCGGAGGTCTGGGGCAAAGCTGGTGCGACAGAGGACCAAGGTGGAGCCGGAGAGAAGGAGCCTGATAAAAGGATGGAGGGATGAGGTAAAGCCAGAGAACTAGAAGACTGTGGCGGTGGCAGGTTGACGAGGAAACGTGGAGCCAAGGAGGAGCCAAAGGCTCAGAGGCCTGAGGTGGAGCTAGGGGATATACTTGCCAGGATGGAACTGGGGACTGGAAGGCGGATCCAGGGAGCAAAATGGAATAAACAGGAAGGAGTTGAGGAGCTAATGGGAACCAGTGGAGATGGGGCCGACAGACTGGCTGGCTTTGGAAGAGGCAGGAGACACAGGCTGGGAACTCTGGAGACTTTGAGCTAGACAGAACTGGCAGGAATGCAGGAGATTCTGAGCTTAGCAGAACCAGTGGGGATGCAGGAGATTCTAACCTGGGCAGAGCCAGCGGAGACACAGGAGATTCAGGGCTGGACGAAACCAGCGTCGATGGGAGAAATGGGTGGAAATCCTCTTACAAATAATTATAAAAACACAGTTTGCAGAGGCCAGCTGCAGACAGAGGATTTGTAAAGAAAAATGTCTGAGGATTTCGATAGAAACCAAGAGGAGACTGGTTTTCCTTTGCTAAAGTAAGGAAATTTTGCTTCCTTTGCTCATATATACAAACTCGCGAGACTAGCATATC